GGGTTTCTCAGTCTCTGCACTATAGACATTCGGAGCCAGAGCCTTCTCTGTTGCAGGGTGTGTCCTGTGCATTATATGGTGTTTAGAGTGTCCCTGGGCTCCAGGACGCCTCCCCAGTGTGACAGCCCAACATGTCTTCAAACATTACTCAGAGTCTCCTAGGGAACAAAATCTGCTTTGTTTGAGAAACATAGTATTAAGTGTTTAAAAATATTTGGTACATGCACCCCAATGTTCAATGCAACAATGTCGGCAATAGCCAAACTGTGGAAGGAGCCAAGATACCCGTCAAAAGAATAATGAATAAAGAAGATGTGGTTCATACATATAATGGAATATTACTCAGCCATCAGAAAGGATGAATACCTACCATTTGCAGCGACAAGGATGGAACTGGAGCGGATTACGCTAAGTGAAAAAAGTCAAGCAGAGAAAGACAATTATCATGTAGTTTCACTCATATGTGGAACGTAAGGAATAGTGCAGAAGACCATAGGGGAAGGGAGGGAAAACTGAATGGGAAGAAATCAGAGAGAGAGACAAACCATGAGAGACTCTGGACTCTGGGAAACAAACAGGATTACAAAAGGGAGGTGCGTGGGGGGATGGGTAACAAGATGATAGGCATTAAGGTGGGCATATGTTGTGATGAGCACTGGGTGTTATATGCAACTAATGAATCATTGAACACTACATCAAAAACTAATGATGTAGTATATGTTGGCTAATTGAACATAATAATAAAAAATAAAAATATTTAGTAGCATTGATATAATAGTAATTTAATGAGAAAAAATATGAAGAGTGTAAACGGCACAGCCACACCATGAAATGTCATGCAGGTGTTGAAATAATGAATCAGCATTACACTGGTTGACTAGTGGGATGAGTATAAAGTATTGATGAGTCAGAAGGCTGGGGAAGAAAAAGCTAGAAAAAGATTGTGCCAGACATAAAGCGTACTTATGATACACATTGCTGTCTTTTTATACATTCAAATTAAAAGTGTGTGAATGGGTAATTGTTTATAACACAGAACAGTTTTAAAAGAAAGGAAACTTTTTTTTTT